TTTCATATTTCAGATTAGAAAAGTTAGTTTGATTTGATCTCGTTTTTGTCAACAGTCTTCGAGAACTAGGTTAGTCTCTACCATGTAAATATTCCGTTTGTTTTTCATTCTTTTTTGATGTTTGTTGGGGGCTCAGTAGCTCCACTTAGGTTTTCACGATATAGACACTATTAGGTATGCAATAATCTCAAGCTATGGCTGGCTGAAGGTCAGCGAACAGTATGGTAACCAAACTACCGGGTTGGTGCATACCTTATAGTACACAATAAAATTTTCTCCAAAATGCCTTAAAACCAATATTTTCAAACTGTTCAAAGTCATGGATGGTCGTTCGCAGAAAGTTTTGCTTCGTTTGTCTCCTTCTAAAGCTATTGCTCCAGGTATTTCTAACAGAATCTTGAAAGAGTGTGCATGTGCTCTATGCTTTCCGCTAGCCTATTTATTTAACATGTCCGTTAAAAATGGCCTCTTCCCAGATATTTCGAAAAGAGGCTATGTGCAAGCGATTTCTAAGTCAGGAGACCATCACTTTTGTGAAAATTATCGCCCCGTAATGTTGCTGCCTGTTATGTCCAAAGTACTAGAGCGACTTATTTACAATCACCTCTATGAGCATCTTACTACTAACAATCTTCTTTCACCTTCTCAAACTAGATTCAGGAAACGACACTCAACTGTATTGCAATTGACTGATATTGTTCATCATATAGCATTAGGTTTCGATAGGCAGTGCCAAAGTAGGGCTGTATAACTTGATGTTAAAATGTAAAGGTGTCTCTGGGATGTTACTCGATTGGTTCACTAGTTATCTAAATGACCGCAGTATTTGTACTTTTGTCCAGGGAACAACAGCTGATATTCAGAAAACCACTTGCGACGCTCCACAGGGCAATATCTTGGGCCCACTTCTATATTGATGTTGGGTGCATAGATCGAAAGTTCATTATTAAGTCTGAGTTTTCTCAATACGTAACATTAATCATCATAACAAAATAAAAATAAACGCAGTCGAGTTGGAAGAAGTTCTGCAACTTAAGGATTTAGGAAACATCTTATCATATAATCTGTCGTGGAATAATCATATAGATTATACATTAAGTCGCTGTAATAAGATCCTTAGTATGTTTAAGCCTGTAAAAAATATTTTTCTCGTCACGTCTTAAACATACGGTATAAAACCTTGATTCTACAAATAATCTCTTATGCTGATGGTATTTATTCGGATACGACAGATGAAAATATTCAAAAAATAACTTCGCTATGCAGCAGCATGCTAGTGCAATCAAGGGAACGAAGGGAGAAAACATTCTAACACTCCTGGGATGGAATAGCGTTAATGAGCTATATTACATCGATCGACTTTTGCAGTTCTATAAAATCTGGAAACTTGGCTTTAAGGGTACCCCTCCCCGCTTTATGGGCTTTCCGTAGAAATGCTGTGAAATAAAAACTAAAAGTCGCTAGGGCTTCGTATTTTCAGAACTGATTGGAAGCTCAATGGAGCACTTTTTCGTTTTTATTTCAAGTTTTCAACTATTGACGTATATATATAAATTTTGATATTCGTAAACAAAATCATTTATTAATATTTTAATAGATTGCACATCATCTTTTATCGTTTTATCTCCATTAGCAATGTTCATAGCATAAAGAAATTTTGAAAAATGATTACAATATTTTAATTTTTAACATATAATGGAATATTGAAAACCCGAAATGCACAATTGCCTTGAATTCCGAAGTTTTATATTTATAAAAATTAGATAACGACGAGGACGGCGACATTTTGTAATTGGTATTCTTAAATTGTCTAACATAACTGAATATCATTGAATTTAGAACGTATCGACCACGGGTGCATTCGATATTTAGCGTCCAACCACAGAATTAGTAACTTTTTCATAACACCTTCGTGCGATGAATGAAGATCATCAATTAATCAAGACTGACCCACATCAAACTTTCGAAGAGACGGAACTCACAGTATCCTGCAAAAACGACTGCAGTTTTTGCAAGGGAGAAACAACTGACTCCGCTTGACTTCAGTCGTATGGAGTCATCAGGAGTCAAGTGAAGCCCAGAGTCTGCTGTTTGACCCTTGCCCACCCACCTAAGGGGGAAACAATGGGACCCAGTCGTGTGAAGTCAGATGGAGTCTACTATTTACCCCTTGTGCACCCGTCACTAGGGCTGTTACAGTTCCAATTCTAGAGAACTCGTGAAAGGCTCTCTAGGCCCGGAACTGTCACACTGCTGGCAAAGAATGAAGTGATTACTCATAACTACTCATGTTTAAGGGTTTTGGCTTAGTATTAGCATAATGCCAATGTTTATGGTTCCTAATAACAAAGAAATTGCGTTCTGTTGTGGGAATCTAGTCCCAATAACAGGACAATGTGGTGTTGTGGGAATTTAATCCTCGTAACAGAACAAAAGTGTTCCGTTTTGGGAACCATAAGTACTCATCAATGAGTATTTTTGAGTAATAATGAGCAATGGATGAATTGATTGATTCTATGATTCGACCACTTCTTAAAAACTGATACGAATTGTTATATTCCTACATGTGACTCCACAATTCTATTACATTTTGGAGTCAAGTGGAGTCAACTGATGCAGCAGAGTCTGGAATCAGTTGTTTCCCCCTTGAGTTTTTGTCTAGTGTATATGCTAGAAGAACTATAAATAACTAAAGCAGAGGAGAAATGGAAAGGAGGTGCGGATTTTGGCATAAGATGAGCTACAACCAATCAAATATTTATTTAGAAGATTTATCTTTTCGTCTGGGGGACAGGATTTGAACCTTGACCTCAACCACTTAAGGTTGTACTCCGCCGACTGAGCTATTTCTCATTAAAACTACTACCTACTACGACAATTCTGCGACAAATAATCCCAAAACAAATCAATAAGAGCATAATTTCTGAATGCGATAGTTTTTTCATATCTAAACCAAAAAAATATGCCGCTGACGTTGTACAGATAAATAGAAAAACGTTGTTGTACGTTTCTTCCACATGCACATTTGGCCTTATTTACTTTTCTACAAAAATTACCATAATAATAAGTTTGATAAACGGTGTTCAACTGCGATCGGTTAACGTATATCTGTAACAAAGAATGAAAGTTCTGCCTGACATATGCCCTGAATGTAATCATTAGAGGAAACTATATTTCTCGTGTGTACAAATGCCTCGGGAATCAGAAATTTTATAAAAATAACGTACTATAGAACAACGCTGGAACTTTGAGCATAACCAGCACGAGGATATACTTGATCACCTCGAATTATATTTCAACAGAGATGAACCCTTTGAAAACCGGACAAAAAAAAACACATATTTGACCACATCTCAACTGCTGGGAACATTTCCATAGAACGGGGACATTTCCAATCGAAGCATATTGCAAACAGAATTCATTGTGACATTGTTAACACCACATCGCGTTTTAAATATCATTAATGCTGAAGCCCAATCGCTCTCTGATGGTTTATCTTCTGGTATCTCTACAGTGAAACAAAAAAAAAGGACGATAAATCTTTAGAAATTCACTTAAATATGAACATTTACCATCCTCATCAAATTAATCAGCTGACTGAGATGTAGATATAGCTTTGTTATCCTCAGCTGTCTCATCGTCGCTTGAGTCGTCTGAATGGTACGTAAACGTAGAATCACAAAAATATTTTGACCTGAGGATTTGCCTTCAACCAAGTCGTCATAATCATCGGACACAACTGTAACATCTGGTACAGTCAAATTATCGTTTAACGTACACCCTAAAAAAGGCACATTTCTACATAACATTTGTGATTGAAAAGACAGGCAAGAAAGGTTCTTACCATGGGCATATTTTAAGTCTACTGGCGGAATCGTTAAATTTCTTTTTTCAATAATTCGTCTTCGTTAACGTTCACTCTTTTTAGTCATGACATTCACAATAATATCTACCACTGTGTATTGTAACTTATGTAATCCGAAATTAACCTGGAAAATGTACATTAAGCTGCACTTGCATAACTCAAAATGCTTCAACAGATACTTTAACTGAACGCACTCCAATTACAACAAATAAAAACAATTAACCCCAGGGTGATTCTTTCGAGAGCGTACCAGGTTTACACCGACTTTATCCGGATTGTTCGAGAGTAACAGGACTAGTACAACTTGAGCTCCTGATGACGAATATCACGTTTAAAAGATTCTAAAACAACGGCACGGTGACCTCCTAGATCTGTGAAGAT